ATGTTAATTGGAAACACTAAATTGCCCATAGGTGTGAGTGTGAGTGTGAATGTTTGTTTGTCTCTTTGTGTTAGGCCTGCGACTGACCGGCGACCTGTCCAGGGTGTACCCTGCCTCTCACCCAGCTCCAGCACCCCCACAACCCTAACAAGGATAAAGAAGAGAATAGATGGATGCAAGTTTCATCAGTACAGGACAGTCCTTGTTGCTGATCACCTTGTCAGGCACACAATGTTGAAGACACATACTGTAGTCAGCAATGCAAAAAGGCATCCACCTGCATCGCTGTCAGCTTATCACCCAAGAGGGCCGGGCTGGTGGTGTTCAATACACTGGACAAAAACATGACCACTGTCACCAGCTGGTTCAGCTGGGTGTAGATTGAGCCTCCTTAGCTCGAGGGGACTAAATTGGATCCTGATGTGGTCTGACTTTGGGTCGGGGCTGGTCCAGCATGAGTCTTTCCAGGGTCTTCATGACGTGGAAAGTGGGGGCCACTGGGATGTGGCATTTGGTACAGGAATCAGGCATGACATCTTCCACAGCACTGGGACACTGTGCAGACTCGGACTCATCATGAACACTTTGTGAAAGACTCCACAAAGCTGGGGTGCACAGGCCTGGAGGACTCGTCTGGTCCAGCAGACTTGCCTGATTGGAGTCTTCTCATTAGTCCCTGAACCTGGCCATGAGTAAAGTGACAGGTGGGGGGGTCAGGACTCTCACAGGAAGCTATGGTACAATATGGAGAGAGAGCTTTCTCCAGTACTTGTCCTTAGCCTCTCTGATCTTGCCCTTCAAAAACATCTGAACCATTCTCACCTGCTCTCTATTGTCCATTGTTACACGGCTTGTCATCTGGGTAACAATGGACTTGGTACAGAGGTTTATGTAGTCAGTGATACTGTCAGTAGGCCCATTGATTTCCTCACCATGAGGTTTATAGAGTGTCTCCCAGTCTGTAAGCTCAAAACAGCCTTGCAGGTCTGCTAAGGCTTCCTCCGATTGACATGTACATCACACCCACCCTGTGGGCTCAATTTTTTCGTATTTATAGAGGGTGTTACTGAGCCATTTTGCCCCACCCATGTCTGAAACCATTAAAATATGTAAATTACCTCTAGACTTGACATGTCCACACAATGTCAGTAATTTTTGAGTATGTTAATGCCCCCAAAAAGGAATAACACGTCCTATGCCAACTGAGTGGTGATGGAAAATACCATCTGACCAAATGGTGATGGTTATCATGATCATGTGTGACACCAGCAGTTACAATTTCATATAGATTGAATGATGTTTACAACCTGCTCCGTATTTCCTGTTCCCACTAGGCGGCACTCTAACTACTGCTGACAAAGGGCATATTAATCTGTTTGGGGCTGCTCTCTCATCATGACTGTTAAGTTTGGTAGAGACTGGACAAGGTACCACAGTTTCATGCCTCATGCAACTGTGGTAACTTTAGGATATGGCTCCAAGAAACCTTTTTCTACATCACGTCACTCCATAATATGGCCCATGCCCTGAAAATACAGGTAATCATGATAAAAGATGAGAAAAAATAGTTAGTTTTATATTACTTAGAGCCAGCCTAATTGGGTCTAGGACTGTGAATGACTCTCTACGTCTGTTTAAGCCCTGTAACAGAGTGGTAATCTATCCAGGGTGTGCACTGGCTTTTGTCAAAAGTCAGCTGGCAGAGGCTCTTCAGTTGGATCATTACACAGTGAAGTCACATTGCAGCACTGAGGTTGACCAATGAACTGGCTCCGTATTAACATCAGCGCACTTTTATTTCAGCCCTGAACACATGAACAACTCCTTGTGATGCAAAGAATCCTGTCACAGATACAGCAGGCACGGTGAAACCCTGAACTGTGTAAGTGATATTTGACCACAACACCGAGCAAAATGAGGTGTGCTGCCAACTAACCTGCAAGGTACCACCGCTTGTTTTCACATTGATAGGGCTGCTCCACCAGCCTTCAGAGAATTCCTCCCTACCACCACAGTATTAGTAAGAGCACACACTATCACTGCAAGGCTGGCTTTACTGCTACTGACCACATGGACAGGACTCTCTTTGTGGGGTTTCATGCTTCTCAGATACTTCACAAAAAC